TTTTCATATTCATTTTTTTTCTTCTTCTTTCTTTTTCTTTTTTACTTCTTTTTTTTCTTTCATCCTCCCTCCCGACGCTCTTCCTTTCCCTTTTTTTTTTCTCATATTTTTTATTTTATTTTCTTTCTCCATTTCTCTTTTTCTTTCTTCCTTCTTCCTTGGGGCACTCTTCCATTTCTCATTTGATAGACAAACACTCAATTGATTCTTTCAGATATTAGTTCTATGAAAACACAATCTCATTTGATAGACAAACACTTAATTGATTCTATTGCAATAAAAATATTAGTTCTATTGCAATAAAAATAGCACCAACCTAACAAGTAACAAAGCCATGTCGAAATTACAGGTTGCTTGAATCTTCAACAGAAGATGCGATGAACTCGACCATTTGCATGCCCCTTCCTGCTACTGCAATCTGATACCTGTTCCTTTCACTGCAAACCAGTATAAACCCGGGGTATTTATTTCAGCATCAAAAGTTGTGTAAATCATGAGGGCATTATACGGTTTGGGGTTCAACCTGTCACAGATTATGGCATCAAGTGCCTCTGGCTCCGGTACGCTGACGATCACGCTGGCACACTCCCTGATCCCACACGAATCATCTATCTTCCAGCACCTGATTCGTTGATCAAGGCCAGTAGAGAATGCCCAAGTGCCATCAGTCCAAGCACCTACAATCAAGCCTCACAAGTCAAACACCCATTCAGAAAATTACAGTCGAGATTCAAAAGCCAGCCTTTCATTTCCAATTGGGAGAACAAGATTATTTGCATAATGTAGGAAAAAAACACAAGTTTTGTTCATGGAAGAGGCACCTCTTGACCCTTAAACCACAACTAGTTATTTTAATCGGTGGATCCGATCAATACATGGCAATCATGCTGGTTCAAAATAATCATATGCTTGAGGATCATTACTGCAGTAGTTACCAAAATAATTTAAAAGATATAAGGCAACCTTTTACTGCTGAGCTGTGGGCTGATGAAATCCTATTTTGAAAAAGTATATCAAGCTTGTTATCTTTATCTGCAGTGCAATCAGAGCACTCCCTGACAAAGCTAGAACCTGCAAGAGATTTGACTTTCATTAATAACCAAATATACAAAAAAGAAAACAAATTTCTACTACCTGATGGGTGATAACAAGTGGCATCCTCTATATGATTTCTACATGTTGGTTTACTACGCTCACAACCTTGGTCAGTCAGTTCTACTTGCAAGCTAAAGCCAAGTAAGTGCAGAGACTGATCATCCCCACCACTTATGACACAGTAAGCTCTCTCGGATTTTGGGCCCCGACATTCCATTTTAGAAACATGTAAGCAGTTGATACCAGACTGGTGTACTGAATTTAGCACGTGCAATGGCTGTATTTCATGTAACTCAGATGCCAAGTTGAGCTTTATGCCTAATGGATAGATTGTCTGATCATTCTCTGAGGTAGATGAAGTTTCAAATCCATTTTCACAATCATTCAGATTGGTAACATTGTTAATGCCCTCAGAATTTCTGGATCTCTTCTCAGAAGATAGATTCGCCAATGATCTCCACCGTCTTCCACCCTGGCTTCCTCTCCCTGTTTGTGGTCGTCTCTGACAATCAATAAACATCTGTGGTTGAACATCCAAGACTTGGTGCATAAAGAACCCAACTGCCTCTGTGAGATCCCAGAAGGTAATGCTTCCATCAGTAGATCCACTTATAAGGAAATATGCATTTCCAATTTGGGCAGAGTCTGTAGGAAAAAAAAAAGTTGAGAAATTGAATGCTGGAACTCAAATCTAGTTAGTAGCAAGTAGCAACATATATGAGTCACTCTTTTTGTTATGTCAACACTAGCTCTTTTAGCAACGCAACAAATATGTTTAACAACCTTGGAACCTGAAGCCTTAAAACATACTAAAATGTTTTTGTAAAACAGTCCTACAAGAATACAAGACATTTGTTAATTGTAGTTTCTACAGTTACCTCATATATCAAGAAAACACCTTACCTATATGCCAAGTGTTGAAGGAATTTCTACTTCTCAAAGATAATTTCTATCATTTGTTTTCCACTTTTAGTCCATACATTGTTTCTAAAACTAGTAATACATGTGAATATCTAAACTAATAAAAATCTGAAATTATCATGCTAATGAGAAATAACCATTAGAGAATACCAGTAACAACTATATGCTGCAGCGATAGTATTGGGGACTTTGTTGGAACCAGCAAAGCAACATCAAACCTGCAAAACTTGTCGAGTTAGGAAAAGCTATTGTATCAATCAAAAGCTATATTATCAAGAGTACCACTATGGTGAGTAAATGCAACCAAAAATACCTTCCAGCCACACCATAAGAAATATATTTTAAAAAAAATCATGCAGACAGGAAATAAAAGGGCAAAGTGCTCTTGGATGAAAATTACATACCACAACCGATAAGGCAAAAGAAGAGCCCTTAACATAACTGTTGCATCAGAACAAGCAACCACAATGAAGCATACTGTAAACCTGTTGTAAGGAAAAATTATAAACCTGAGTTTTTACCTCTTTCAAGCTGGGATTTGAACAATTTAAAAGCAAAGAAAATAAAAAACACACTGCATGGGATTTATAATAAAACCATAATATATCCTTATCATCTGACCTGCTATTCACATGTTTCAAAAGAAAAGCAGTGACAGCCAGGTATCTCCAGTCATTATCAATCTGATCCACAAAGGTGCAATCATGCTTGTCTTTTCTGCACTCACTTGACATTAATCTGGAAATTTGATCAGATTCTGTGCTTGTCTTTTCTGAACAACTTCCTTCCTCAGAAAGTTTTATTGGCTTTGCCACTTTTCTTCGACTATTAGCGAACTTCTGTGGCATATGAGTTGAGAGCCACTGAAAAGATACTGATGAGAACTGAAATTTGGAAGGATCAGATAAATATTTAGAATCCCTGTTTTCTGCTGTACTATTTCGCAAGACCCAAGAAGTCAGGACTTGCTTGGAACCAACAGAAAGCAATAAAAGTTGATCTTCATTACTATTGGCCGAAGTATGGTATGCACATCCATTAGAGGTATTGTGTATTTGACTTCCGAAGGTATATATCTTTGGGATGAAGCATATAGACCTCACAGCTGATCCACCAACATGTTCACCAAGCAATATTGACTCAGACCAGCCTCCCATTTCAGTAGGTGAGTATCTGCGTATCCAAATCACCATAGTATGACACAATTTCAAGTCAGATTCATCTGGTCATCAAACTTTTTAGTTAAGAAACAAAAAGTAATATGAAGTTTGATAGTTAGCGACAACAACTATGATTCATATTCAATATAGCAGATAAACTATAACTTATTATAGTTCTCGATGTCGAATCCATGGTGCATCATCTATGTGCCACAACTAGTAAATCTATAAACACGAATGCCTAGAGAAACTTGGCAGGATTCTTCGGGATGTATACCTTTTCTTAGAACATCAGGGAATATACTTTCCTTTTGGCATTTTATGACAAGGACACAACAGAGATAATCACTATTATGGTAGGCTATATAGTTGTCTGCAATTCCTTTTAATTGATGGAACTAACAATAGCAAGTAGGCAGGAATCTACTTTCCTTTTAGCGTTTTATGACAAGGACAAGTCAGAGATAATCACCATTATGACAGGCAATATAGTTGTCTGCAATTCCTTAATTGATGGAACTATTAACAACAGTGAGTAGGCACTTTGTCAAAAATTAACTCATGATAATTACTTATGACTCGAGATTATCAGAAAGCATACTTAGATACATAGCAGAAAATTGGAAAATTGATGTCATTCTAGGATTCCTAAGTTATTGGCTGATACTTCGAAAAAATTTGGAAAATGATGTCATTCTATTGTGTGGCATATAATTAATACCAGACTTCTTTATATGGCAAGTGTTTCCAAATATGAAAAAACTTGAAGACACTGTTGTTAAAGCATTAGCTGCTATAACAACAAGTAGTCACAGTCAAATTAGAAACTCTTACTAATATTCACACAACAAATGGCTTTGTAACGTTTTAGAGCATCAAAAATTCAAAAATTGTGGATACAAACCTTGCCAGCCGCACACTTCCATCTTCACAACCTGTTGCAATCCATGAATGACAACCTTTACTTATCTTTGATATGAGACCAAGTGAAATGAAACATAAAGAATGTATCTCTCTTCCATGATATTGCATATGCAACACTTTAGGAAATAACTTTTCCCCAGCAACCACCCAAAGCCTATGAACATGAATAATATGGTCCTGAAAAAGGAGAACTCAAAATGTTGAATGTGTTATATATCATGGAAAAACTATCATTTAGTAACCACCCAAAGCCTATGAACATGAATTATATGGTCCCGAAAAGAGCAACTCAAAACTTTAAATGTATTATATATCATGGAAATAACTATTATATATTAATATAACGTCCACAGTTTTTATCCTCAACCGCATTAGTGAACTTGCAAAGAAACATTGATGAATTTAAATAAAAAAACTACATATGTTTCTTGCTTTCATTAATGCATTTAAGCCAATGTCATATTTTGTATACAAATTTCTTTACATGATATTTTGTGCTTAACTCTTGCACCTTGTGAGCTTTACTCTCAAGGGTGTACCTGCAGTTACAACACCCAACCACTACAAATTAATCATCTCAACCAACCATATGGCTTATTGCTAGGATTCGTTGTTGATCCCCTCCATTCCACCATGCCACAGATTGTCGAGTCATTGCTTGAGCAATGACTTGTACAAGTGAGGTATGACTTTCAATAATATTTCAATGTCAAGGAAAGCTTCCAATATCTGATAAAATAACTGTCTACATCTGAACAATCACCACGAAACTGGAAATGTATTTTCTTATGACTGATGATTTATTACTATAGTCCTCTTCGAAAAATCAAGTTGTTAATGGCTTTTGAGATGTATTACATTAAAAACTATTCATTAACTGCATCATCCTAAAATTTCTTTGGTCTCTCTCATGGTTTGCAGTACCGGTCCGTACCGCCCGGTACAGGCGGTACGTACCAGTCCGCCAGACTTCCGGTACGCAGACCATATGTTACCGTTCCGACACTGTAGCAGTACTGTAGCACTGCTACAGTGCTCGGCACGCCTGAATATACCGCTCGGTACACCTGGGTGTACCGAGCGGTATACCGTACCGTACCGGTACCGAGCCCAGGTCGAAACTTCGGTACGGTACGGTATTGCGAACCTTGGTCTCTCTATTACTGGAGGGAGGTGATGCTGCTGATTGTCAGAAGTTAATGGCTAGTACTTTTTAATAAGGTAATGAACCCTAAACTTCTCTTTACCCCTAACACAGCACTTTTGCCATTCATCGTTTTATGTTCTTACTATGCACCACTTATGTTCTTATGCCTCTTAAAATTACCATTAGCCATGAATAGAATGACAGCATATCTCTAGAAGCAAATCCAGATAAAGATAAAAGTTCATCTTTGTAAAAGGTTCACCAATAATACTAAGCACTGTACATATCTACCTGTATGGTGCTGTAGCTAACAGTATCCAACCTGGGGAGTATTTTCACAAGAATGGAACCAAAATTAACAGATAGGGGACAGAAAAAGCAATAAAGTATGTGGTTTAATACTTTAATATACCACAAAGCAAGTATGAACAAAAATATTAGAAGACAAAGTACAAATCATGTTAAAAAGGAATATTGGGAACATAACAGTAGGATACCTTCAGATATGCAAAACAATTTTGATGCTCTGGAACTGCCCCAAAATGAAAAGAATATGGCCTGCGCCATCCACCACAAGGAATTTTTATTGTCTGCAGAAGCATGAACCGTGACGCATTGAGGTTGAATGGCTCAAGACAAGATTTCCAATATTAAACACCAGATTAAATACCTTTGTCTCATTTGTTAGATCCCACATGATGAAGTCCACAGAGGTAAAACCAACTGCATAATTGCCCAGCACCATGTCCTCCGAGTTGGAGCTCGAAAATACAGATTGAATCATACTTATTTCTTTCACTTGCTTCATCCCAAGGAACTCAACTTTATGATGGATTTTATCGTATTTAAAATAACAAATGCATCCATCTGCTCCAGTCTGCAAATATAGTAGGAAAATGAGCCCTACTTGGTTATCAATAAGATGGACATATCCTAAAGATGGACATACCGTTTGTATTTCAACATGGTTGAAGTATGATCTGGCAATGTAAATACTGGTGACGCTAGATATGCCATGGGCACCTTTAAAATGATCAAGTGAAGTGATATTCTTCATTACATCCTCATGGTTTGCTACCATCAGTTCCTCCGACAAAGGAAAAAGAGTAATATTTCCACGTTTGTCACCACATATAAGAATCTACAAGGCAATTATGATCTTATTTAGACAAACACTATAAGGATTTGATAGATTTGTTTTTTCCCTAAGAAAAGACCAATACTAGGGAGCAAAAATAAAATTCGAGGGAAACACAACAAAAATAGTTTCACATAACAACAGTCACTAAGTCTTATTCCATCCATGAATTGCCCACCAGGGGAGAAAAGTGAAATCATTATTACTCTCATCAGTAGAACAAGGCTGGTCACAACCACCTGTTTCTAAACTGAAGAGAAAACTCATTTTATTCCAATTTCCCAGCTAGTACAGGCATTATCTTAAGTTAAATTTACAACTCATATAAAATGCTGAAATTTTGATTATCATATGCGCAGATCTGAACCCAAGGATTTAAATATTAGTCCATGTGGAATACCATTCAATCGGCGAACCAATACAATATGTAAACATCACTGTGCGATCAAGTCTTACTATGGTTGGTGTACTGTGAAACAATATTGGGTTGGAAGTTGGAACCATACAGCTTCGTAAGGAAGTGTAAAAAGTTGAATCCTAGTCTGCATCAAAACTGCTAAACAACAAATTATTACCTCTTCTTTACTCAATGCATCAATACAGATGATTCGATGTCTGAAACTTGATGCGAACACTGCAAGAAGAAATGCACTGGGACCTCTGGTGGTGTTTTGAGAATTAGATTGTAATGAATCCTTATTAATTTTCCATAACTTCAGCATTCCTCTAGGGTCCGATGTAAAAATATAGCTGCATGATCGAAGACACAAAATTGAGAAAAAGTGGAACATTTGAATAGTAAAAAGGATAAATAAAAATTAAGTTTCCATACCTACTACCCAATGATCTGCACCAATGGACTCCTAGCAGTTGTCTCTCCATTTCTGCTGACCAAGAAAAAGATAATGACACTTTGGGGGCATGGTCTCCATTGGTCAGACTGACAACTGTCACTTTTCCATTACCATCTCCAATTGCAACAATTTCTTCCGCATCTAAAGAGAACTCTGAGAAGTTTCTGGACAATATATCAATACAAATAATCTGTGCTTCACTTACTTGGATAAGTTCAGTCCACTTTACATTCCCAGGATTGGACAATTCAGCATGATACAAATACCCATTATTCGTAGCGACAAAAAGTATATTCTCTCGAGTAAACCGTATGCATCTAACATACTCACTTTTGCTGCAGCACCATCGATAACAAGTGTAAAGGACATATGATGTTATAAAGTAAACAACTGGAAAACAGCATGTTTCACATTTAATGAATGGCACATGAAAACAAGTTCATACTTGGCTGACAGACAGATCTATCAAGTTGACAATTCCAACTAGCCATGTTTTGCAATTGATAATGGTCAAAATTTTAATGAGCTTATAGCATATACTGCTTCCAAACATCCCATGTCAATAAAACGTGATATTATGATTGTCCCAGAAGCAACTGTTGGTCCATATTTAGCAACCAGGAGAGCATGTACCAGTACAACAAATTTACAGGAGAATTGAAGGTTAAAGCTTCCTGCCTAGCCAAAGGTCACGTATCAATTATCCCCCATAGTAAGGCAAAGCTAGAATCAATTTGAGTGGGCGTAGATATACCTCATTCTGTGGTGAATCTTATTGTTGGCACCCTTTGGCAATATAATCTGCTTGTATGGTTCAGCATACAGCCTATAATCATCATGTGACCATTAGGATGAGGATGGTACCACTAGACAAAGTAAGGATCCTTATGACTTCGAATTAGAGAGGGATGTGCTTGAAAATCTATTCCTAGTCATTTTATACAGACATGGTAGCCAGTTTTGGACATTTCTAACTATCACACTTGGTAAGCCAAATAGAAATTTGAAACAATAAGTTTGTTAAGATTATTTATCAAAGTGCTACAAATATGGTAAAATCTATTGACCATTGGATGATATCAAAAGAGAATGGCCCCATATTGACCTGTAGGTCTATGACTAGAAAACTTAATGAGCATCTAGCTAGATGTTATATACCCATGCTCAACAATGCATACATTAGGATTGATCAAGATGGACTAGGGTATCAGTAAAACAGTTTTCACCGACTACAAAATGATCACTATGGGGCCATTGGATGATATCAAAAGAGAATGGCCCCATATTGACCTGTAGGTCTATGACTAGAAAACTTAATGAGCATCTAGCTAGATGTTATATACCCATGCTCAACAATGCATACATTAGGATTGATCAAGATGGACTAGGGTATCAGTAAAACAGTTTTCACCGACTACAAAATGATCACATCACCAGAACAACTTGTTCAAAAAATTTACTTCAAATCAAGGTGAAAAAAGCAGCCCAGTGCATAATGCAGTGGTCCATGTAGGAGATGGAGAGAATTAACATCGCCCTTGCAAATAGAGAAGATATTTCTCTGACTCAAATCCAAGTCACACATATTGCAACAGACTAAACTTGTTGTGACACCAAGACTTACCCTAAAGGAAGAAAATAATTGAAGTTGTGTTTAATTGTGAATAACAAAGGCACATTCAAGTTTGTTTGACTGGGATTTTTTTCAAAGATGAATATCATTCCACGCAAATCCAAGTCACACAGGTTGCAACAGACCAAACTTGTCAAACCAAGAATTACCCTGAAGGAAGGAAAAAATTGAAGTTGTGCTTAATTATGAATAACAAAAGCACATTCAAATTTGTTTGACTGGGATTTTCTTCAAAGCTGAATATCATTCCACGCAAATCCAAGTCACACAGGTTGCAACAGACCAAACTTGTGAAACCAAGAATTACCCTGAAGGAAGGAAAAAATTGAAGTTGTGCTTAATTATGAATAACAAAAGCACATTCAAATTTGTTTGACTGGGATTTTCTTCAAAGCTGGATATCATTCCACGCACCCCTTTCCAGAAAACAGACCAGAATTTTTATCACAAATATATTGCTGATATGCACCTTTTAAGCACAAAAACATTCTAAACAGTAAAAAGGACAGCCAAAGCAGACTAGCATTTCATAGATTTTTTTCCTTTTCCCAAGAGTCAAATCCCAGCTATATTGTTTCTTTCTTCTTGGTGTTAGTGACAGAAATGATCTTAAGAGTACTGAATATGCACAGCCTTCACACCCCTTCTACTTCTGATCTCTGAGGTAGACACAAGTTCCTATGCTGCTAAATCAACCATGTGAAGCACTTGCAGAAAATTAGACACTATTACATATTGTTAACTGCTATCCACTAACATCCCTGATGTCTGATAAGTCTTAGCAGTGTCATCAAAAAGTACAAGACATCTGATAAAGGAAAAGACAAGATATTTCTGATTTGCAAATGGGTATCTATTTTAGATTAGCATTTTAAGACATATTTTTTTCAATATTGCATGCCCAAGTGGTCATAATTCAAAAATAAAGAAGTTGACTGTGAGAAAGATCAAAAAGTATACCTGTCCATCAGACCAAGCTGCTTTGTTAATTTAGGAGCACAAATTTCAAAAATTTCTCTCTGGTCCTTTAGATCATCTATTAAGCCACCTTGTTCTCTTGTCTCCATAGATGAAGAAGAATAGAGTTGATACACTTTGATTGTAGAATCAAATCCCGCACTAACAAGAAGTGAAGAATCTGGATCATACAAACACCGCCATATGCCTCTTCCACTGCATTGATTGCAGTAATTAGTTAAACTAAAACTGCAAGAAGGCAGCATTTAACTACTGCTAGTGATGCTTAAATTTATTACAATGTCATGACCGCTTACATATGTTCCTTGAATATCATTAATAGGTTACCATTCATTCCCCAAGCTCGACATGTACAGTCCTCGCCAGCTGTAATTACTACCTATACAAAAAAAGCTCAGAATAAGCAATGAGAGAGAGTAAGAATAACACAGTAGAAGTATAATAGCACAAAACCAAGCTAAGCCCTACATATCAATTGACAACATTAGGAAGCAGAAACACCACAATGTATGAACAAGCACTTTATCAAAAAATAATATAAGATAAGACCTCATATCAATGATTTTAACTCTCATACATGGAGAAAATTTCAATCATTTACACCCAATGAGTATAACAAAGAGATTCTTGAGTTTGCTGACAGAGGTCCATATCACTGAGCAAATAACTTCTTTTAGTGATACAATAAGGAACCTGTTCAGGACCAATCCCCATCTTGGAAAAAAAAAACAAAAAAACTTCTATCAACTTATTGTATGTGTAACAAGGTAGAACACAAACCACAAGCATCCATCAAGGACTGATAGACCCTTCCACAGTGTGCTATGCAACATTGGGGAACTAAAAACAGTTCACAAAGGATTGACATATGGGAGTTATTTGCAAATCTGCACAATTTCTGCAGTGGACACTATGGAATTTATAGTTGTGCTATATAACAAAAACACAAACTTTTTTGTTAAAAGTAAAACAACAAAATCATAGACATTATAATAACATAGTACTGGCAGATACTTCTTCATATTCTAATGAAAAGCTAAAATATTAGTCATAAAAGATAATAAAAGAAAAATGGCCTCTATGACTTTTTTTAATCAAGTGCAACAATACAGTCATGGACGGTATGATGAGATAGCACCAGTAAATACTTCATCTTTATTTTCTGATGAAGCATATTTTTTATGTTAAGAGCCGGAGAAGAGAACTTCTCTCTTAATTACACGGTGTGATGGCAAGCTTACCAATAAAGCTGAGCCCAACACAACCACACAGATCAACTTTTCATGTCTCATCACTAAACAACCAAAGAAGCCATGAATTATATCATGAAAAGATTATTTTCACATGGAAAAGATATTTTTTCACTTGAGATACTAATGGTGCTTTTCAACAAGGTTCTGAATATCGTACCGTACCGGTGTATCAATCAGCTGTCAGTATGATACATACCAAGCTACACCAAACTGTACTGAACGTATCGATACATGATATACTAAGGTGTACCAATGTACCGCCCATGCTAATCCTCCGTAAGACCAATATGTACCGCCCGTACCGACCAGTACGGTATGGTATTACAAACCATGCTTTTTAGCAAGGTTCGCCGTACCGTACCGTACCGGCATTTCGACTCGTGCTCGGTACGGTACGGGTGTACCGACCGGTATACCGAGGTGTACCGAGCACTGTAGCATTGCTACAGTGCGCTACAGTGTTACTGTAACGCTGCTACAGTGCGGACCGGTACAGGGCGGTCCGCGTACCGACAACTTGTCGGACCGGTACATACCGCCCGTACCGGGCGGTATGGCTCGGTACGGCAAACCCTGCTTTTTAGAACCCTTGAAGGAGTATGACTAGTAGTGCTGACAAAGGAAGAAGGTGAGGAGACAATGATCATGACCCTTACAAGGAGAGGGAGGAGGAGGTGGCGATGTGGTGAGAAGGGAGGAGAGAGAGAATGTGATAGAAAAAGAGAGAGGGTGAGCGGTGAGAAAGAAAAAGAAAAGATAGTTGCCACGACCATCAAAAATGAAGAAAAGAAGATCCCTGGTTGGTAGGCTTACCATCCATTGCATCTGATTCCAACAATTACAACCAAGTGGTACACCCAGCAGGACAGTACGAGGCTGTTATGAACCAAAACCAAAAGAAAACCGATGAAACGATAAGATATGTTTCAATTATTTTCACAAAATTCATGTTAACAAAAACAAAGGAGGAAACAATAAGATATGTTTCAATCAGTGATTAAAAAAAGTGCCAAGGTCCCAAAACGCCCGAGGCACTACGCACTCACCCGAGCGAAGCGAGACGCTCTAAAATATTAAAATATATATAAAAAAAATTAAAAATATTCGCTACTGCTAACAGTAGAGTGTGAGAAGAAGACCGCGGTGAGAAGCTGAGTCACGATAAGAACTCAATCGCAGACAAGAGGCTACTATCTAAGAACAGTAGCAGTGGGTGGTAGCGAAGAGCAACGACAGCAACAGCGGGTGGCAGCGGAGAGCACCGACGGCAGGCGATAGTAGAGAGCAACGGTAGCAGCAGTGGGCGATAGTAGAGAGCAACGGTAGCAGTAGTGGGTGATAGCGAAGAGCAGTGGCAACGGAGAGAGGTAGTGACAGTGGCAGTGGAGAGCAATGACAGCGAAGAGCAGTGACAATGGCAACGACAGTGGCAGTGGCAACGGAGAGAGGTAGCGACAGTAGCAGCAAAGAGGAAATGTCGGCGACAGAATTGCGAGTAGGGTTAGGGTTGGGGGAAGCGCGAGGGAGAGGCTGTGAACCAACTAACGCAAATGTGACCAAACCAAACCTAAAAAGCTGGTTCGGTCGTCTAGTTTAAACCAGGCACTCGCCCAAAGCGCTCGAAGCGCCCAACACCTCGGCTCGGGCAAGCACTCAGGCGACGCCTCTTTGAAGCACGCCGCCTAGACATTAAACGAGGCGCTCGAGCCTCGCCTCGCCCAAGCGCCTTTTGAAATCACTAGTTTCAGTTATATATGATCAATGATATGAAGAAATGACTAGCTATATGTGCCTAAGTTATATAAAGCATAAGTGCATAACTAACAAAAAATCAAGGAGATAATAAAGATTTAATCATACCGTTATGCAAATGAATCGACAAAAAGAAAAGGAACTTACAGAATGAGACATATAGCAGTCCCAAATTCTAGCATTATGACCAAACAATATGAGGTCAGATGAAAACTCCTTGAAATTATCAAATTCTTGCTCTTGGCCCGCACTTATCCATATACGAGCGCTGCCCTATGAATGAAGCCAAACAAAATGGACTAATTATTTCAGAATTTGTGAGCTTAAGACAATATGAGAAATTTATCAATGTAAAAAAAACAAAACATCGTACAAACAAATGTAAGTGAATATAAGGGATCTGCATGTAACCCACCTACGATCATCAGAAACAGACATCAGTTTTGTTCCATCAGATGACCAGGCCATACGAAAAATCGAGCCTTCATGTCCAATGAGTCTATTCAAATGAAACGCTACATAATTCCTGCCATCAATCTGAGTAATTGCACAGCTGGATGTGTTGCGACAAGGATGCTCCATCAAAATAGCAGGAGAAGAAGGTGGAGATTCTGGAATTAACTTCCAAACTATAATCTGTTGGAAGTGCCAAAAAATTGAATCAAAAATTCATGACACCTTTCCATAATGTGATGCAAGATACAAATCTTCTTCTGTGCATACAATTTTGCAATACTTCAAAAAAGCACATCCATCAGTGGTTATGCAAATGCAGGAATAATCACACATGGATTGCCCTACAAATATCTAACTCACACAATTTCATGTAGCCCACCAAGTATGTCAACACTATGATTTTAATTTATTCAGTTACATGCTGGAAGAGAACACATTAATCTCAACAAAGCCCTACAATAAAATGGGTAGGAAACAATCCAAACTCAAAATCAGAAATGCTTTCAATGTCAACTCTCCAACATTGCAACCAAAATTCTAACAAGGCTGATTCAGTAACAGAGGACACTGTAGAAAAATCTAAAAGGTCCATCAAAACCAGATAAAGTCATCATCTAATGAAGTAACTAGCTAGAACACCATCGACCAGGGCTACGAAGGGAAAAACAACTGGTTGTAGGGAGGTATAGAAAGACAAAAAACCAGCAGAATACAGTTCAGTATTTCTAGAGCATTATTCATTTAAAAGACTGACATATCTTATAAGCAAAAAATTGCATATTGAGGGAGAAGAATAACTATTATAAAGTAAACTCTATCCAATCAGTGGAAAAACCAATATTTTTTTTATCATTAACATACTCAATACACAATTATTGTTGAGTCATAAATATCACAAAATGTTGGTTTTAAACTAACTCCATATATCAAAATCAGAATGAAATGTCCAAAAACAGTTTCTTGATGAGCTATTCTGCAATTTAATCATACAAGAATATGTATAAATGCAGTGTACCGATGCAATAGTGACAGTATTTCCAACTATTAGACAAAACAGGAGTACAAAGTTTACCTCATTAAAAATTGTTCCTGACGCTACTCGGAGAACCTTTAAGCTATTTCCCCACATTCTCATCGAATACAAGAGGCACCTCTCTGTAAACAGTAAAGCAATAAGACGGAACCAAATGTGACCAATTTAAATGAGACATCTAACAGGCAAATTTCCAGGAAACCGTTATTAAATTCCATATCAAACCTGAAGACGTCACTCGGGCAACCACGGCAGAACTCGTAAGGTCCCACAACGCTACAGAGTTGTCACTGAGCCCCATTGCAAGAAGCTCGTCCTCCTGCACTAATCAAACATCAGAATCAGAATCAGACTGAACACCAAACAACATAACTCCAACAATGCTCACCCGGTGAGTACCTTCAAGAAACACGCATCCAAGATCCAGTGATCAAACCCAGGCAAGCGCTGGACCAAATCCAGCCTCACGCTCAACTCGCCGCCGGCACGATCAGTCAACCCCACGTCAACACGCAAGAAAAAGAGCTTAACTCGCCGCTCCCCGAAGACGGCAACAAGGTGATCAGCCTCCGAAGAGAAAAAATCCTCCTTTGTGTCAGGAGATCGCAAAGAGATGCCATGAACGCGAACACCTTCGAACACCTGGAAGGTGTTGATGAGTTTCCCAGATTCGACATCGTAAACCAGAAGCTCAGATCCAGTTCCTGATCCACGGAGGTGAATTACAAACAAATTAATCACCAAGCAACGAGGAAACAAGAACAGAATGGCGGGTTACCTGCGAGGAGAAGGGGAAAGGAGGACATGCGAGGAGAGAGTGGGATGAATGAGAGGGCGGAGATCTCGCCGAGGTAAGGGCCGGTCCGCAGCCGCCATGAGTTCCGCTCGCCTGCGGCCATCGCCACAGTAAGAAATGGGAGACTCTTTGGGGCTTACAGCGAAACGAGGGTTTATTGCGACTTTTGTGCCGTCGCTTTTAAGACTTTCGACTTCAGCCGGTTTGGGTCGGCCAATAAAATTCATGGGCCGGATTAGTAGTCCGAATTTGGGCCATTTGGGCCTACAATTCTTTGGTGACTTTGAATGATGCGATCCATATAATTACGTATATTGCGGCTATGCATCATCAAGAATCGATTACCTGACAATTCCAATGCCTCCTTCAAGAAGTATCACAAACTTCTCAGAAAACTTGATGAGTCAGTGGAAAGTGAACCTCAGCAATCTGAAGTGAAACAGTAGTATTAATTCTCTCAAAGCAATCGGATCTAACAAGCATTTCCCTATTACAGAAGAAGATCACAACTCTCGAGAAAACAAAACTATGTACACACACAATTTTGCTTGAAGTACTTTCAAGCATCATACATACAACAAAACAATCCTAGCTTCGAGAAATATGGTGAAAATACATGGATATTCCAGCTGGCCTTGATCCGAGTTCAAGCAGTCATCTACAGAGATGTAGAAATGATGAGTTGTTGCAGTCTGGGGAAGCAGCTGGTGAAAAGAATGTGAGCAATCAGGCAGAGAGATTCTTCTCCCAGATTCTGGAACCTCATTTGGTTGGAGATGGTCTGTTCTTTCTGCTGCTATATATGGAATCTGGGTTGTCACTTTTGTCTGTGTCGGAACCCTCCCTCTGGGAATCTATCTCCATGCCTCCTGCACGATTTGGACGGCGTCTCCGGTCCTGCAGACTCAAATAGATTTGATTAGAATGATTCCATGGTATGGCGCAAATGTCAGAATCAGTTTACTTCAAAAAGCAATTTAAACTACAATCAAATATAAGACAAAATAATTATACCTCACGTGGTATCGGCTCATCAGAGTCCAGCATTCGGACAACCTGACCCATCTTAGGTCTCTTCTCTGAATCAGGATCAACGCACCTCAAAGCAGTCAAAAGGGCACGTTTAAGTGCTCTTGTAGAGGGTCTTGTCTCTATATTTGGATCCACTACTTCCTCTGACCGCCTACTTGCAACCATCATTTTGAGCCAATCAACTAGATTTACCTGCAATAACATTGTGTGTAAACGTAACCATGAAGTGGAAGTAGCACCGGCAAAAATAACGACATATAAGAAATACAAACATATTGCCAATGAAACAGCTTAAAGCATAATCTTTTTACTATGCCCTATACCTTGTGAAAAAACTTGAATGTGCAATAGAAAGAGGAAATTATGGGAATACTTTAGCTTCCACAGAAAGAACATTGAACAATAGCAACCAGCCATAATATCAAACTAGATGTATCTTTCTTCATTATTGAGCAAAATTTAGGGCAATATAACTAGTCAAACAAACAGCAATCATATCTCTTTTCCTTTTTCTTCAATAATTCTCTAGGTCTCCATCTACCTTTTATCTCACCACTAAAGGTGCATATTAAAGCTCTGTTACATGAATATTTGGTAATCATAGTTGCAGCAAAGTAAATGTTTAAGTAGCATGAGCCCATCAAAGGCAATATGAGTGCAATGGATGAAAATGACCACGTCAGAGATAGTTAAAAATCAATTTGTGAACTCATATTGAGGATAGGGTCTAAAGATAGTTCAGTCAATCATTCATATATGTAGTAAAGTAGGCAAAAATAGACATATAACGAGTCAAACAGAACAAAAGGCAGCAAGTATGAAAACAGAATCACATTTCCCAAACAAAAATTAGGACATGTCAAGTACAAATAAATTACATAGAAGTGGGAAAGAAAAGATCAAAAAGTTTAACTTTTACATCACAGTTTGATATGTTCTTTGTGGAAGACTTCTGGTAGTGAGCACAAACGATGAGTGAAACTCCAGAAGAACACAAAACAAATTCCATCACTAATATGGATCAAGTAAATATTACTGCTCTATCCAGTCAAGTTCATTTTCATTCGAAAATCTTTTAAAATTTGAAGCAAATAGGTAGGACGATCAGATTGATAGAGACTAAGGAAAAGAACAAAAAATGAAACATTAATAGATGCAGATAACTAAGGTTGGTCAGTGGTAGACAACCAGCAGTCTGCAGAACTCGCCCCATTTTAACTTGTTAGTGAAGAATAAGCATGATGTGGAAAAAGCAGTCACCCATGAATACCTCATTTGCAGGGCGCCCATAATCAACAGGATCTCTCCCTGTAATTGCTTCTAGAAGAACAACACCAAAACTGTATACATCACTCTTTTCATTTAGCAGTCCAGTATTTGCATATTCTGGTGCCACATAACTGCAAGTGGGAGAAGTTCATAGTGCTAATCCATGAAAATGGATAATCCGATTCCATTAGCAGTTCCTTTGGAACAGCAAAAATATATACATACTTACCCAAAGGTTCCCATAACTCGAGTAGTGATATGACTTTTACCAGCTCCCAGCAGCTTGGCCAAACCAAAATCAGATACCTTAGCATCAAACTCGTCATCAATCAATATATTACTGGATTTGATATCTCGGTGCACAACTTTTGGTTCAATGGCCTCATGTAAATAAGCAAGACTGCCACAAATATGTTACATTGTGATTAGATTATAAGTGAAAGAACTTTTCTTTGAAGATAACATTCCGGCATTAATGCCAAAAATAAATAGTCAAGACAACCATAAAGTTGTAAGTTGTGGTGTTTAAATTTGAAAGAAAAAGAAACTCCTCAATTCTCATAGAATGTGATAAGGAAATAGATTTGAGACTGCAACATTCTCTAGGACATCAAACATATGCTTATAACCAATGCTTGTAACCTTATTCTAAAAAACATGTGGCAGGAGAAATTTTAAGTACAATTACAAAGTTGAGTAGCAGAAGCAGAAACAGAAAGAAATAGAACAAAGAAAAGTAGTATCTTATCAAAACTAAAAAAGAAAGAAAAAGACTCACGCCTTAGCAGTGCCCAAAAGTATCTTTATGCGAGCCTCCCAAGTGAGAGAACCCCGCTGACGCATAGCTCCATGAAGCCATTGTTCTAGATTTCCATTGTTCACATACTCATAAACTAGCATCCTGAGTAGTTGAGAAATACAACCAAAGAGACATTAGGATGGTCATTGGTAATGCAGTTACAGAACAGTAACGTCTAACATGATAGCAAAAATAAAGAGCTAAGAAGTGATAACTTGAACATGGCACAACAAAAATGAATCACATACTTAATTTACTAGTCTTAGGCAGCACACTGATGACTGAACTAATATAAACACTGAAAAGAGTGTTTGAACAAGAATGTGACTCACCTCTGAGTGCCCTCCACACAGTATCCAAGAAGGCGTACTAGATTCTTGTGGCGAACATGACCAATGGCCTCAACTTCCACTCTGAATTCCTTCTCTGCTTGTCCTCTGTAATCAAACACCCAACGATAAGTAATTTTTATTCTTTGACATAATATTAAAAAAATGACAGAGTGAATTAGAGGTTTAGAGAGTATTATGCAAAGAAAATATACAGATTGTTAAGAAGCTTCTTAACAGCCACAGGAGCACCATTGATGAGTTGCCCTCGATAAACAACACCATAACCACCCTCCCCAAGTACATTATCTTTTGAAAATCGATTGGTTGCAATTTCCAAGTCCCTCAAGGTAAACCAGTGACCCCAACCAACGTAAGAAAACTCTGGGAGGCCAGTCAAAGGTGATGGAGCAGTAATAGGATAAGAGGATTGTCTACGCATGGCAACTGTCCCTGAACTTCCCTCGTCACCAGAATGGGAACTACCATCTTTCTCTACGTAATGAAATGAGTCTGAATGACTGTTCTCATCAGCATGCCTTGATTTGCCGAGGCCCAAATGGACCATAATCTTATCTGATTCATTTCCATCAGATTTATCTTGAAGTGTAAGAAGAATCCCATCACGTGCAACAAAGTCACTAGCTGAGACATGTTCAACCCTCACTTCTTTAATCTCCTTTGATACTGCTGGTATTTGACTGACTGGAAGATTGTTGGAGGCCCTCCTTGACCTCCTATGACTCCTAGCATTAAGACATATAACTAGAATGGAAAGAACACCCAGTATGGAGACCGCAACGATTATTCCGATTACAACCCATAACTTAAGGCCAAAAAGAAATGTTTTATCATATAAATGTTCCCTCAGAGATGACATATTTCTGATAGCAAAGCTCCTGCAAGATAAAGAACTGATGTAAATTACAGCTCTCTAACCACTTAACAAGTGTATCTAAAAACAATTATCATATTTTTGGAAGAAAGAACATGCGGATTTGTCCTTAAGCAAAATTTCAGTCAAGGCAGCTATAGAAATATGAGGCCCACTGAAAATATTTCCTATAAACATATAGACATTAGATTTCAATTGGATACAAAACCAAAAAAAAGGAACATGATGAAAGTAAATCGTAGACACATCCCTCAACATCATCACTAAGAGATTTCCAGAATGGTATCTATAGTATCCGGCAAAATCATTTCTAGTCATGCCACTTGTTACGAGTTCAACTTGTAAAACTGATGGAAACATAAGTGTGTGAAACAAAGCACAAATGCACATGCTTAAACTATATATTGGATATGAAAAATTTAGGATTTCAAAGAAAAACAAAATATCAGTTGCCTATTACTACATAACCGTAAATAGGTATGCTAAGAACATAACTAAGAACTTTTGATGGAAACACAAAAGTCTTAGCTTGTCAAATGCTCATTAAACTTCCATAATCATCACAGACCCTCTTACAAGGAAAGCACAACAATGGAGACAGCACACATAGAAGGAATAAAATTTAACAAGCACACATGCAAAAGAAAAAGGAACATGCACAGCTTGCAGCTGAAACAATAGATACACTCTTAAAATATCCCCCTCCCCAAAAAAAATTCTTTTTCCAATACTGACAAAGCTATAGAATAAGCAGACACCTTCTCTCTGTATAGTAAGCTAGTTTATAGAAAATAAAGCAAGAATTCAGTGAACAAATTAGCATTCTCCCATGAATTTAGAACCTTATGGAGACTTGTTACCAGCAATCTCAATTCATTCACTAGTTAGTGTTGCCAAAGCAGCGACAACAAGCAAATAAAACTACGAAACAAGCATTCCTAAACTAGACTTCCATGGCAAGACCACACCTAGAGGATGAAAAGAACACGATCCTACTCCACAAAAGGAAGCTTTAAGTAAGAACTGCAATTTCGACAGCATGAGATATTATTTCATCCAGTCGAGCCAGGGCACAACAAATCTGAGTTCTCCAACTCCCCATACATACCTTGTGCCTCCGGATCTCCAGCAAGATCGAATTTTCCCGCCCTTTCGTCCCTCGTTCCACAAAATTCAGCAGTCCCGGGCCAAGAACCGAGCCGACGGAGGGCAGCGGAGACGCCGAAAGCTACAGCACCATTTGCCTCATGGAACCAGATCCGGGGAATAGGGGAGGCTCAAGAAGCGATTTGCGGAGCCGTTCGAGAGAAGCGATGCCTCAGATCTAAGCCGAAATGGAGCTTTGGGACGGGGCAGCAGCTCCTCCCCTGAAATCCCAACCTTGAATCTCGCTTTAGGAGAAGCAGGATGGGAAGAAAGGTGGCGCCTTGGATTTGTAGAAGGGGAGGGGAATGGGACATGAGAGAGGGAGAGAGAGAGAGAGAGGTGGAGGTGAAGGTGGAGGGAGGAAGAGGGAGAAGGCGAGATGGAGTTATCAACGGTAGGTGGCAAATAGAATTAGAGAAGGAGAAGGAGGAGGAAGAGGAGGAGGACGAGGCGTTGGAGGCGAGACGGGGGAGGTGGACGAAGAGATGCTTCCGAGTGCAGTAAAAGGGTTGGCAAAAAAGTGGTGACGTGGAATTGTCGGCTTTTTGTTAATTTACACATATAATCTGATACACAGTTAAAATATCTGCCACATTTTCAGAAAAAAAATAATAACGAATAACATAAAAATAAATATTTATATAACATGATTTACATTATAAATATGATAATTCAATTACATTAATCTATCATATATCTATTTTATTTTTTTATTTTTTCCTATTTTTTATAATTTGTTGAATTTTAATAATGACATTTGTGAATATGACTGTTCTCTGACTACTTTGTTATATTTTGTATATTTTGGAATGTTAATGAGAAGGAAGAGAAAATAAATAAATGTTCAAAAACTTAGAGGAAAAATAATTATATCAGACAATGATTTGATTATCTGTGATATTTTTCATAATATTACATAAGAAGTTTGCTGTAAAAACATGAGAAGATAAAAAAGAAATGGAATTAAAAGATTAAAGAACAGTAGATGATTAGATTGAAGACAAATGGGAGGAGAATTGGAGAGAAGTTATAAGGTAAAATGAGTTCTTGTTTTTTCCTTTTAATGGAAAATTAGAAAAAAAAATTGTCCTTTTTTGTTTTATGATCATTGACTTTTTGTTTTTGATTTTTGCTTACTTGAAATACAGATATCAAATGATATAAAAACATACTTTTCTTTTAGTATAAGACAATGGAGATATGATTAAAAAAACTATAGTAAATAATGGTCATATTAGTGTAGTAAGATATAATGGCTATATAGCAAACAATGATAAACAAACATAAACCCTAAAAACATACTTTTCTTTAGTATAAATCAATGAAGATATGATAAAAAGATATATAGCAAATAATAGGCATATTACTGTGGTAAGGAATACTTTGTTTATCATAAAACTTTATCTGAAAGTAAAAAAAAATTACACATTTTATATGCATCAATTATTATTCATTCCTGTCTCATTGAAATTTTAGCACTGTAGGGTGTTTGTCCTAATCAATGAAGAGAAATGTGTCTCCCAAAGAATACTATTTGGCTCCACCTCAACATTCCTATCAAACTACATCCATATCAGTTTACTAAGCCAAAAATGGAATCATACCACATATTAGAACATTTGGAAGAAACTAAGTTGGCCATATAGGAGAGTGTGATATCTCTATCCTAGTCTACAATCCAATAATATGGAATTATATTAAAAAGACATAAAAAATATATTAGGATAATATTTCTCATAGTTATAATTTCTTTTTGACTATCTTGTATGTGATAGCCCAAAATTAAGTTAATCAAAGTAACCAAAGTAGCATCATTATTTTATTTACAAGCTTTTAGTATTTGATTTAGAATGTTGATTTAGCACTCTGAAATATTATGATTTAAAATTATATATATATCATTTTAGATCATATGTATATATTGGCAACTTTGTAGGGTGGAACTAACAAAAAGAATAGGAGGATGGAACCAAAGGATGGTGAGAGATTAAGCAGTAGTACCAGCATATGAAAGCAATGTGCCTTAAAATGTCAGCTACCCTTTGAGTACTTTTACACAGGAATGTGTTCCACATAGCACTCAGTCTTACTTTTATGTTGTTGGTTTGCTTCATGAAATGGATGCTGAGTCTTCAAGGCAATGCATTCCTGGCTTAGTCCATATGGTTTTCTGGTCATGGAAGTACCAATGGTGACCATGAACTGCCTTTCTTGTACTTTGCAGTTCATTCCTCTTGTTTTTTGATCTAGTTGATGCTAATTTATCTCCAGCTCAAAAGACTCCAAAGCCTCCTTAATGCTTGCACTTGAAAGAAAAGAGAGGAGAGAGAGAGAGAGAGAGAGAGAGAGAGAGAGAGAGAGAGAGAGAGAGAGATTTCATTATCAATGTTGATTCTTGATGGATTATTATTATCAGCTGTGGTGGGGTAGACAAGTTGATCAACAAAAGGATTAGACATTATTAAAATTCTAATAGGAGTGTGAGATTTGAGTTATTTATCCTGCTGAAGTGAGAAGTCAAATATCTTTGAATCATATAAGCCTAAAGTTCTCATACTGCTGAACACTCTGCAAGTATAGACTTCCATTTTGGTGTCAACTGAGGTTGTGGTGGAACTCAGAATTGTCCTGTTCAAGCATGATGTGTGTTTAAGGGCAAGTTTGAGGAGCAAAATGGTCATCCTTTTCTCCTAGCACTGTTTCAAAGATCTTGTTTTGTCTGGTGAATCCTAGGAAAGTATTATTCCAAGTTAATTTATTTTGCCTAACCCTTTCAAACCTTTGAAAAGGAAGAAGAAGATCATATTTGACTTTGCAATGAAAGTTGCAGTAAATATAAATATTCAAACACTTGTATAGTTGGTATGGAGATCACATTACATCATATTTGGGTCCTTTAAAAGGTTAAGGGTTCATCAACTCTCCTGTGGTGCCATATATGCTCTCTGTCCATTGATCCTTCATGCTGATTTATCAAACCCTAGATGGAGGTGTGATGTGTTCAGGTATATTTGAAATGTATATAATTTGGATTAACTTTACTATAAGTATATTTCAAATATGTCCAAGTAAATTAAATATATGTCCAAATTTCTATCTAGTCAATATTGTGTTTGTGACAATATCAATTTTTTTAATATAGATGGAAGGTTCAAACCTCATATGAATATGAATTGCATTGTTGTCTTATTTGTTTCTAGTAAGAATTTGTAACTTTGTTAGTCCTGTCTTTACCCTGTCTAATTTAATGTCCTCATTATGAAAAAGATATCAAAATCCATGTTTCCTTAATTGAAAAAACAAGTGAAGTTTATTGTCCAAAAAATATTTTTTCTCCATATATTTGGATGCAGAAAAGGTGATTTGCTTGTAGAATTTTCAAGAAACATACAAGGGTGACAGACCTAATTTCCACAATATTAATTAGATTTGAATATAATTAGAAGATTAAGCTATGGTTAAGGTAGCAATTTATGAAGATAATGGTGCTTAACTACAATACCTTCTTCTCGTATTTTTTTTTCTTCATTAGAAAAAAAGAATTATACCTATTTTCTCTTTTTTTTCTGCCCTCATATAATTAATAGATATCGCCCCAAAAATAAACCACACGAACGCAAATCATCCACCGATCGACAAGAAACAAACTCATCTCCGCTTTCTAATCGTCGTCCTCAACCAAGAACGGAGGGTCGATGCGGTCCCCAAGATCCATGGACGACTTGGCCGAGGCCGGCGGGACGGCGTACCTGGCGGAGAACCCTCGAATGACGGTGTCGCCGTCCGAGTCGCTGTCCTGGCCTTCGTCGAAGTTGAGGGCGTAGCTCATGGGGTCGTAGCCGAACCTGCGGCCGTGCCGGGGCCGGCGACGGAACCGGCAGACGAAGGTCTTCCACCGGGGGCCGGCCACGGGCTCGGACCACTCCCTTGCCTTGAGGAGGGCCTTCCAGCCTCTGCTCCACCACCGGCGCCTCGTGGTAGGGCACCCTCCGTCGCTCCGCTCCGCCGCCGTGGGACGTATCCTCTCCCAGGACTTGCGGGCCCGCGATGCGACGAAGGGCACCCAGAAGCAGCAGCAGCCGCACTTGGAGAACTGTTCCTCGGCCGCGGTGGACATCGCCGCGTCGTCCGGACCCGGCGAGTGGTTGGCCGAGTCCATCCCCCTTGGGACGGATCAATGAGAACCAGAACGAGAACGAGAGCAGACATGCTGCTATATATATAGAACGGCATTTATTACATGTTTCTGTCTCGGGCTGGACAGCAAATTGAGAAAGTGGTGGGGGGATTTCCGGAAAGCCCGAGAGAACAAAGACGGAAAGACGGGGGACATTTCCGGAAAAAGGTCGGGCGAATTTTTTAAAAATTATAATTTTGGTTTTTTTTTAATTTTCTACTTTGAAATATGCTCAAACAGTATTTTTATTTGTTAAAAAGATAATATCAGTCTTAAACAATCACATTATGAAATCTAATAAAAATTTTATTTAACTTATTTTATATTTATCAATCGATACGACCTATGTTATACGGTCTTTCATCTTCGATTGTTCCATGTTCTATCATTATTATCACAATATACTCTATAGCCCCTAAGTATTATCGACTTTGTGCATCATTATGTTTAGAATCAAGGTTTGATGCTTATGAGTGTTGAGCTTTTATTCTATCGTTATCACAAGAAGGGTTCTAGGTTCAAATATTTTATACTTCTGGGTTCTAAAACTATAGTGGCAGCTAACATTATTTGTGATAGAGCTTCGATGATTATTTAAGATATGTCTTCAATTTTATAAAAATATTTGTTAGGAAATCTAAACTTTTGATTTATTGTGTAGCTAGTGTTGTTGGGTTGCATTGATCTTTACTATTCTAAACAAGGTATTGAAACCTTATTATTTTACTACTAATATTTTGAGCATTCTTTATAGAAATAATTTTTTTATCTAGAATAATGTGCTATTTTTATCTTATTTATTTATTTTAATAAATTATAACTTATCCATGTAATATATATATATATATATATATGATTATCACATCCTATTTTTTATATAATATAATTTGATCCTAACATATATTTGATATTTAATAACTGTGGTTTTGTGAGCACATCCTATGCTTTAATATGTTAAATGAAGTAGAATCTTTAAGATTATAGAAATGATTTATTCTTATATTTAATTTAAAAGTTAATATAATGATATTAATAATATCATTTGAAAAAGTAAGTACCTTATTTTAAAATCAAATTCAGATTTATTATTGTAGTTTCTAAATATCATGATCATCACTTATTATTATTTATATATTATTAAAAAAATTAAATATTTTTGTGTTATATTCTTATGAGACACCAAGATGCTAGGTATCAAATGTTGAGGTATCGGACATTATGGTACCTAACAGTTGAGAAGTCATGGTTTACTGAACGATCATATATTATTGAGATATATTTATTTCATGAGCCACACAAATTATAGTTTTCTTTACAATAAATACTTAATAATTTTTTTTTAAAAAAAATTCATGAATATTTAAGCTTCCAATTATGTTACAAACACCTGATAATGGGTGGAGGTCAACGTCAGGGGGGGTGGAAACAGCTGTAGAGTGATGGCCGGCACAGAAACAGGTGGATGGAGTGCAATGAATTTGAGGAGGGTGTTTTGGTATTTGTACATGCGGGTCGTACTGGTGCGTCTCCCGTGGTCAACTATTAAATAATTAATATTTATTGTATAATATAAAAAATCGAACATAGTGATTATATATATATATATATATATATATATATATATAGGGCGATTTTGTTATTGATCTCACTAGATTTAACTTTCGCACAAATATATTCCTATCCTTGGCTGTGCTTGACTGCCATTTTAAATTCCAGTTTACACTAATACTTGTGATGGGAAGAGCATTAAGGTATTTTATATTTTTATGTACCTTTAAAATTTATCACGGTTAGGAAAAGTCTATCTTAGTTTTCTTAATGGAAGGAGTATATATTTACCTAAACATTTTTATAGGGGGTAAGCTTACTACTGTTACCAAACTTTGCAAGGTATTTATTAGCGGAACACCTTCCAAGATTCTAAGATTAGGAGTAGAAAATTAAGAGGAATGAAATATTTTCCTATTACGGATTTGTATCGACATCTGTATATAATTAAATCTTTTTAACCCCATAGATATAATTATTGAGTGAATGAAGCATATATGCACTACTTAGAGAAACATGAAAATCGAGCAGCTTGTTCTAATACTGAAAGTTATTAGCTGTGTTTGACCCATGTGTTCGCCGATTCTTCCTTCACCAAAGAATAAGTTTAATTGCAGCATTATAATAACAGTAATTGTACATTTTTGTGGAAAAAAAAATCAAATTAAGTATTACTGTGGAAGAAGAAATCTATATTGCACCATGAGCAAATTATTCAAACATCAAGTGAATTTACACAAAAGACGTTTCTGAACACACTGCACTGTAACATATCTCAGATAGAATCAAAACCTCAACATTGTAAACGAATAATTACAACTAATAAAAAGATGAGAAATGAGAGCGAAGCCCATTTTATGATAAAACAGGCTCACACGGCTGGATCTAGCAGATGCTTGTATTCCCCAGATAGATAAAAGCTTCTGCATGTGGAACGCAATCATAGCAAATGGGTGCAATATATGCTACTTCTGCTCTGTGGGTTGAATCAGCTAAAAAACAAATGGCCAAAAAGCACCAATACAATCGCATCCATCCATCTAGAATAATATATATGGATATCTAATGTCAATCAAATGATGGCCACCTAGTATCTATACATCGATGAACTGCCTTGTGGTGGAGCAGGTGGCAACCTGTTAGGCGTCCGACGACTACCAGAGTTTGCGCCCGAACTTGCATCGCCATTTTGGGTTGGGTAACCATGGCGACGACTGCTGGACCTTGATGATTCGGTGTATGAGCCATCAACGGTTCCATTTGATGCAGCATCAAATGCCGATCTCCAATCATCACCTGGAGAAACATTGGTCCTTGGGCTGCTTTCTGCAATGAACATAACGGCAAGTACATTTACATTCCGATTTCAATCAGTCTAGCATGCAAAGAGAAAATAGTTGAGGAAATTTCTTAAAGAAAAATGTGTCAGGATAGGCAGTATTCTCTGGTTAATGAAACATGACACTAAAACATTTAGTCTGTTCTGATTCATTCATGTACTGCGACTGAAAACTGAAATTACAAACTGAAGTGTTCCTTTTGACACTAATTGCAATTATCTTCACGATATCTAATGGGTAAACTATATAACAAGCAAATAAATATCAAATAGGATCCAGCCACCAATCCTTTCTTTAAAGGAAGGCTTGGGACTATGGTTATGTACTATCTCATGCATTAACTTGGGGCCAAACAAGCAACAGAGGCCAAAAAAAAGTTTACCTGTTCCAGAGTTACCATCTGACCAACTAGCAGCTGCTGCTCGGTTGTCATGGATGCTTAGCTGGCGTGTAAGTTTTGAAAGAAGAGACGACTGCCGTTGGAATCGTTCTCGTCTACGCTTCACGTTTGTGTCCTCCTGGAGTAGTTCTTCGATCTTTGCTGTGCTTTGAGCACTAAACAAAAGAAAACAAATCCCATTATAATAATATGTGACTGTTAAATTTGGAGATTGCATGGTTCGACAGGTATAAGCACAATCTTAATCACAACTATCAATCTTTACAGCAATAAAGTAACATAATAGGAAAATCACCTTTCAGATTACAGTCTTTAATATATTGTTTCATGACAAGCTCTATGACAAATAAAAAGACTATTAACATCATCAGCATCCCGAAGCCTATTTCCATCAGGATATTGTAAGTGAGAATATGGGGCAATCTTTTATCAGCTGGGAACCCAATTCCAAGTTAGCAACTAACTCCGAGCCAAGGGAAAATTAAGCATAACATGTAACCTGGTTACATTTGGGAGCCTACCTTATCTGTCACAGTATGGAAGTATGAAGAAACCTAGAAATTTAACCTATGCCTGCAAAGAGTTCTACTCATAAGCCATTTGGTACATGGTTTGAGATCCGAAATGAAAAAGGAATTGAATTGTGTGAAATAATAAATGGAATGGTTGGTTCCTCTCTTACAATTAATTCCCAACAGGATGAGAGTGGGAAGAATCAATAGTTATTAGTCTTTGTTTGTGAATACAGAAAGCGATCTGAATTAAACCAAACTTAAATAATCTTCATATTCTTGAACGACAAAAATTAAATTATACTAGTAATTGACAACATCGAGTCAAACTGTAATATATGCAAAAGAAACTTGATTACACAAATCAAAATAGTTAAATATAAAAAAAAATCTTATATTAATTTTAAACATGAACTCTCAATCATCCATCAATTGCTTCCTATCTTCAGCTGAAAGCAGACCTGGCTACACAACGGAACTTGCCAACCTGACATACATGTCAATGAGAGAGTTATTTGACATACATGATATGGTTGGTTTGACAACCAAAATTTATAACTGTCAAACTAAACTTGCCTAACTTGCCAAACAGTATGGATATGTTCTACTGCTTTTGCTGCTGATATGTATGTCAGATAACTAATCAAGTCCTATCCAACCAGGACAAATTTCCAGGAATAGTTTAAAACATTAGTTCATCTTTTAGGAGCAACAAAATTTATGGTTTTATGACCCAACCAAAACTCATCCCAGGGTTCAACATATAGTTATAATATACCCCAAAATTACCATATTTCTGTGGTCTAGTTTTTGATCCTCCAAGCAAAAGCTAACAGAATGGCAAGCAACCAACCTTACAGAGCTATATAGCTGATTTAACATGTCTTCCTTAGCTTTCTCAACTTGACAAAGCACAACTGCCTGCTCAATCAGAAAAGAGATAAAAGAGCTTATAATCTGAAGAGTTGGTGTACAAAGACCTAAAAACAATATGGTTGTTACCTTTGGAACATTTGCAGCAAGGCTGTTCAAGACTGCCTCCACATAACCCCGGACTTCTTGAGACATCCATCGAAGTTCTTCTTCTGGATCAGCTGGCTTTCTAGCCATTGTGTCCTAAAATTCTGCATGTTAGTTTGAGTTCCAAAACTCAAGATAACTGCTGACATGTTGCAAAATAAATTTGAAGTGCAAAGTTACGGTTAAGCATAACTTTATGATTAATCAGCAAAGGAGAGATGTCATGAACATACCAATCAACGACTGCACAGATGTTAAAATAGCATAGCTTTGACCATTGACATAGAAAGCAGAAATAAAATTTACTTGCAGTAATTCTGCAAGCTCATACATTTCCAGCTAAAAGATGTTATATGGTTTATATGGTGTTTAAATTCTCTATAGAAATACTAAAGGACTTTTTTTTCCTCCCTAACTAAAAAAAAGGTATTCCATCATAGCATTACTTACTAGTGAGCCATCAGAATGACTTTGTCTAATTGCGGGACTAGCTTCAGAATCAGTTGCCCCCTTCAGAGGAGTTCCCCTAGAACCAGTGATCTTTCGTATCTTATTCACCCATTCGACTTTGTCAGCCATGTTCTCAGCCTTTAATACTACAGCACTGTGAGCTGAAAACTCAAAAAAATCATGAATTAATAGCAATAACAAATATTTAGGGTATTCACTCAATTAGTGTTATGTTCACAAAGCATAACATAGTTACCTTTTAAAACAGTCTTGTATGCAACCTTGCTGGTTATCTTGAAGACAAGACTTGGACCTTTTTCTGGGCCATTTGCCTTTTTGGAGTCCTTGGAACTTTTAGGAGGTTCATCTTCCTCTGAAAGATCTTCAATGTTACATTCCTGCAGAGCATATCTACTTATTAGCAAAAGTACAAGGATATTGACAATGTAGAAAAGCAGCTGCTGAGACTAGAAAGCTTAAACTTTTAAGACTAAAGCAACACGACTCCCTACAGATATATAGCATCAAGTTTAATGCATAATTATTAGCAACAAGCATGTGGAGCATTGCATCTCATGGACAAACTGAAAATCTTCCATTCAAAACACAAATGATTAAAGCAAAAGACAACTCAATTAGTCAATTTTTTTATGATTCTTTAATGATATTTCTCAACTATGCTTTTCCACATAGAATGGGTAATTAGTGAGGATGGTTGACTTAGGAATCTGCAATTCACATCATTTGTGGAGCATTCACCTGTGGTTATCTTGGAAGAGTTCATCAAATTTTGTCTTCCGCTACTCTCTCTCTATAAGCATAGGATTCATTTCAATTCCCAATTTTTGAATAAGTTTGATTACTTGGTTGCATACCAAGTTGTAGCCAGGTAGATTTTTCTAAAAGCTAATAGAAAGAAAGTTTGCTATATCTAATGGACTTGCTTCTGCAAACACCAAACTCTTATATTATAGTACTAGACTGCCTCGAGTTTTTGTTAACAGTGATCACCTACATCGTGCAAAAAATTTTCTCAACATGTAGTGTCACAATTACACTAAGGTTACCAGTGGATATAAAAACTTGACCAACTGCACATCTTGAGCTAATAACGCAAATTTGAGTGAAATCAATCACATCACTCAAGATTATTTTTATCAGTAGTACCATGCTATTAAAAGATAAAGTGAATGACCATAGGGACTAACTTTTAGCCCTTTCACATGTACATATAGCTGTCATTCATATAAATTGTTAAATTAACGAGCTTGCTTTTGTTATTGAAACTGTGACAAAGAATTACAAAGATAAAACTAGTACCTCCAACGTGATGACACCACGAAAGTGCCTCTCCTCCTGCTTTTTAGTGTATCCAAGCTAAAACACAACAATCTTGAAACATGATTTTTAAAGAAAATATGAAGTTACATTAAGAAAATAACAAAATCTATAAGGTGGTAGACTAACCTTTCCGCTTTTCTCATTGAGCACAAACCATCGCCTGCTCCAGCTATTTGTCTTTGCACTTTTTTTCAGTAAGAACCCTTTTGACAGATATATACCAACAGCTAAATGACTCCACATAAAATTCAGTGTGAAAACAACCTAATTTAAGTTACAAATGATTGAAAACTAACGAGTCATTATAAAGAAAATTATGATCAAATGTATATAAAAACAATGTATTTCAACAAGAAATCAATCGGGGACAAAATTACCATGAAAGCATTGGGAACAATGGCCCATAGCTAACCCATAATGAGGAACATATTATTCCAGAAAGGTTTAAGTTTCAAAAAGAAAATATACATTAAACCATAATTAACAACATTAAAGTAACATAAATCAAAGTGACACTTCTACAATATTTGATTAGCCCATGGTGATGAATAATAGTCAATAGTAGAATATATGGATTGTCTACAGTTATCAAAAGACATGATCAATTATTTATTGAGTTAAACAACAAAACTATAAAAAAAAAACTAATTGCAAAAGAAAAGATAAAGCATTCCTCCATTATTTGTGGCAAAAACTTCGTTACCTATAAAACAAAGATCTTAATAATTATATAATTTAGCTTTCAGATTCTTTCAGCAATTTTTTATACATTGGGCAAGCAGCTATACTACTCATATGAAATTATGTAATCTGTAAATGGACTGCAAGTGAAATTATGGAGTCTACTAGTTAATTGTAAAATTATCTGACCAGATAAAGCAAAACCTTCACAAGATTGTGCATTAACCTGCTATAATTTCTCCAGAAGGTCCAGCAATCTGCAAGGCTGAGCCCTCTTTTGTTTCTTTCTCTGGTTGATTTGATTTCTCCTTCATTGATTTCAAGCTACCACCTTGAGCTCCTGGCTGAGGGCTTGACGCCTAGTATGTGCAATAGAAGTAGCCAAAATTACAGCTCAAACAATTCAAAAATCACAAACATTTGAGATGCAAGAAAACATCAAAGTCTCCTTTAGAAGAACATTTGTTCAGGAAACTAGATTCTTATGCCTTTGCAAGAAAGAAAAGACAATATATTAGGTCATAAAGAGTTTAGAGATTAACTCTATTCAAAATGGCTTGCTCTGCTTCATTTGCTTTCTTTGATGATCGATTCTTCAGTTCATCCTCCCTACGCTGCCTATCCATTCTGATAAAACATATTTATATTAGAAGACAGCACAAGTACAATAAATAATTGTATGCATATTTTGAGAAACATCCTCAATTGTAGAAATGTCAAGAACAACAGATCTACCAAGAAGAATAACTGAGCTTTCTGAAATAAATATTCTACTAATTTGAACTATCTATGGTGAACATCATATACTTAGTAATCAATGATAATCTAGTTTAAAAGAGAAGACAAGACAGATATTTGCAAATTTGGTAGACCAGAAGATTCGCCTAGATAATAAAAGAACTTTACAATAAGCTCCAGAACCTACAATGAACTAGAAGAATACCGATCACCTCTCTAAATCAACTCCTTGATAAAGAAAAAAAAATCCCATAAAGAACATACGTCAAATTAAGCATTTGAGTTTTATAAGAATTAATGAGCATTTTTACTATTTGATTGGTCTTCTAACTGCTAAAGGAAAGAATAAGCAAATTATAATATAAGGGGCAAAACCTAAGGAAAAATATTGACATGCAAAATTGTTTAGGTCAAGCGAAACTCAATGTTTCTATTTTTTTTACCAATTATTAGCAACAAAAATTTATCAAAAAAAGACGAACCTCCGCTGGACTAGACGGATGAAATGTTGCGGAGGAACAAAAGCACGCTCCATGTCAACTAATGCAACAACCATCTTTTTGGCCTCGGTTTTAAAGCTTTCTAATGCAGTAGATGCAATTGCAACCACCTTTTCAAAATAAAGAAAATAAGACAATAGAAAGCTCATGGTAATAGTGTCCATGAAGTAACAATTTTTTATTATTAAACAGGACAACAGTAACAATGTTTTTACCTCTCTCTTAAATGGAGGATATTGGCCTAGGCCTGGGGTAGCATTTGCAGCAGCAGAAATTATATCTAACAGAACACGATGTACCTGTTTGACAACCGTTTCAAACATGAGTAACATAGTAATTGCTAAAGCTGTCATAATAACATGCTACATAATCTATTTCTAGTGCATGTCAGCCATCAATCTACTATGTCAATGAAAGAACTGTTATGTAATAAATCATGCATTATCAGTTATCACCATGTTGAAAATGTTAAAGGGAGTTCCTCATAAGTCTGTCATGAGTTATCACATTGAGCATACTTAGAGGAAGAAACTTCAGCTTAGGCAAATTCACAAATAAACTTCAAAAAGAACACAAAAGAATATGAGTGTTCTAACCTAAAGGTAGGTAAATCCCTACTAATATATGTAGGTTGTTGCTGCAGATTTTCATCAGAGAAAAATCCAGAAAGAGAGAAAATATATGAGGGAAAATAAGTACATCAATATATAAGAATGTGCATGAACTTGTGCAACAAAAATCCAAATAAACTTGCACAAAATTCTACACCATAAACCAGAAAATACTGATCATGGCATGAAGAGATTTGCCATTTAAAATCCACATCCAGACCAACAACAATGACAACAAAATATATTGCTCATTTACCTCATCGACACAAAGGCGTGATGGTTCTTTTGCAAGTTCTAGTACTCCTTTTATTAAAGATCTCAAACCTTTCTCTGGAGATATCAAATATGGCTGATAACCATCAGCTTCCAACACAATCTAGAACACACAATGACATCATGCAGAGTAATTAGGCAACATCCAGTTGAGTAACATAATCTTATATAAGATTGCACAGAAAGGTAGCTGTACCCTTTTGACATTATTGATATCAAAATGTCTATCTAATGGAAGCTGCTTTATTCTGCTAGGGAAATTTCCCTCAAAAGTTGCAACAACTTTCCAACCTGCACCCTGTAATTGAAACACAAGTTTTGCCATGTATTAAATGGAAGATATTACATGACGATTTGAAATAGTAATTAATAATTATTGCATCTCTGTTTTGCCAGAAAAACCTTACAAATAGAAAGTGACAAGTTTAGTAAAAACTACAGCTCGAGAGAACTCCATCAGTAAATACAAGAAAGAAATAACCTAATAAAGATGACAAAAAAACTAGTAGCTAGTAGGTCTAAAGCAATTAAACAACAGAAATATGCTTGCACTCCTCTTGTTTTTTCTTGTCCCATTTGGATAATAAACTCAGCTACGCATCATGCTGTTACAAATTAATACAGATACAATTAGTGGATAACTCTCTTCAGGTGCTCTATTTGTATGGTTTGGTTCATGTGCAACACAATGGTCCAGTATGGGAAAATAAGTAAAATACAGTATTATGCAAATGGAAAGACCTCTAGTAACTGGGCTAGCTTTTTTGACTATGTAATCAAGGCATAAAAGCAATTGAGTTATTATGTCAGCTTGGGTTTGACTAATTGTACTATGCTAGCCTTCATTGTATGGTGACAAGAATTGAGGTGGGTTCTTCATGTGTGCCGAGATGGGCATTTGAATGCCTAGCTACTAACAAAAAGTATGGTAATATCAACAAATCTTGTTTTATTCATGTTATTGACAACTAGGTTACAACCATCTCATGGAAAACGGATCATAGACCCAATAGTCTGACATCAGGAAACAAAAAATTAACAGTCAACCATCAATATCTTGGATTTATGCATTTTGTATCAATCATTGGCAAGACAATCGACAAGATTCATGACTGTTTAATGGCACCAAAAGCACCTCTACAAATATATTAGTCTTGGCTGACATGTTGTGAACCAAGTTAAGATCCAAACATTGTATCATCAGGTTGGCCAAATGAGTTGGAAAATTGACGATACTAATGCAACGGTGTAAGGCAACATCAATTATTCCTACATAAAATGCCAAAAGATGACCTTTGGCTATAGTTGATGCCTAACAAAGATATCAAGAAATTGAGCAAAGGAGATCATGATGGCTGCCAAGTGAAGGAATGATCTATATACACAAACAAGATGGCCTACCATTACTAACCAGGGCCTCTATGTTTTTTACAACATTAACAGGCTTTATCATTAAGGTTTTTGGCATTTGACTTGTGTCTTGAGTGAGCATCATTTGCCAAATGCCAAGCTTGTAATCCAGCCCTTATTGTCGAATCTGCTCAAGACAGTCATAAACCAACAAAGTAGATATTTAAGCAACCAATGAGCTTCTTCAAATTTTGGGCAACTCCCATCTCCTGACTACATTTACCGTGGTTGAGAACAGGCACCACTACTAAAGGGATCTTGAGAAAATTAGCCATATTGGCCACACTGTCCTGCGTCTGTCAATACATTCATAGTGAAAGTACAAAAACAAGTAGTCACATTACAAAATTATGAATTGACCACAAGCCTATCAAAATTCATTAGTTTTCGTCTCATGATACTTGGAAGTTTTTAACTTTTCATGTAAGTTGCATATACATCACCAGAGCTCCTATTAAGTGCCATTTGAGTTTCAAAGTGTAACCCTTGATGTTGGTTCCAGACTGTCCAGAACAACAATAATTTAGCCAACAGACAATCATTTAATTATGTCTAGTTTCTCACAACCCTAAGATGTCAACTACAAAGACTTGGCAAATGTTTAGACCTCAACGATATTGATATTATGAGCAAAACAAAACAAATTTATCATGAGATTCATAATTAAAGTCTGACAACCATGTGCAAAACCTCTTGGGAACAAGTACTCATATTGAGTGAAGAGACAAAATACTGTACGTTATGTACACTATCATCATATTATTAAAAGGAATGGATCAATACATATTTTTTATCCAATAAGACGAGGCAAGAACATATTTGTTTACAGTTTTCTGAGACAATGACAAGCACATTGATAACATGGAATCCTTAGTGTATTGTGATCAAATAGCATGAGATAGCATTCAGTCAATTCTTCAAAAATTACTGGTCCACATGAAGAACGAAGCACCAATTTAGAAAAAAAAAAAAAATGAAGCACCAATTTAGACGAGAAACAAAAAAATTCAATTGAACAAGTAATATTGCACAAGAATCAAGAGAGACACCAATGACCAAAAACCACTCGCCACTTATGAACAAGCAAATTTCATTATAGATAAGAGGAGGAAAGCCATAAAATACGGTGTGATGAAGGTAATATGAGAATAGATTTAGAGTAGGAGAACTGCAGCTGTATGCAAAATATCATAATAAATATATCAACAATTGTAAATCATAATTACTAACCTCACCAAGAGCAATGTGCTCCAGAAACTTATCCTCAAATTCTCGACAAAGCTGCAAGGCAATAGCCCTTGTACCTTCTGCACTCTGCACCATTTGTGCACCAAGCCTTGACAATTCATCCTGCACAATCTGGGACTTACCTTGTAGTCTGCAAGGATCAAGGCAGATAAATGGATGTCAGAAACATCTATAAATATTTGAAGAAAATCTAGAAAATGCACTCATTCACAAGAATAATAAACTTCAAAAGTCAACATATCAACCAACCAGCACAACATCTCACAAGTCCACAAATTGCATACAGAAAAGACGGTATTTCTACTGAGCTGATAAACATAAAATAGCTTAGCTTGATAGAAAGACAATGGGAATTTGCCATTTCTGAAGAGGGTTTCAAAGTTTATTAGTAAATCCACAGAAAGATTTAGGAGTTGTATCACTTATAAGAAGTCAATGCCTCGAAATAAGACATGAGGAACAATATAATTTATTGCATTTCTGAATAAAAATTCAAGTGATTAAATGTTTGTAGTTTGTATCAATTCATAACTAGCACACATGAAACTTGAAAGAATTACCAATCACTGAGAACCTAGCGAGGTTTGTCCATGTAGTGATATGGATTCAACAAGGATATCAACCATTAAATGGGGAAGATTGTCACCTTAGTTTATTCACACCTTAGAAGTGAAAGAATAAATGTGATTGTTTCTAGGATTAGATTAGCTGAGACTAGAGCATTTTGGATCACATGGTTTCAGACCTACCAAACTAATGGTTCAGTTTTTCCATCAAACCAGGTTGTGAGTCTTGTGACAACTAATCAACTGTTGTGTTTAATAATTAAAACACATAAGGAAAGAAATGATATTTAAACTTTTAGATTACTTCTCAACTTCCCTATGTCATTTAAAAAATTGTCAACCAAAAAGATACATGAATTTGTATATAAAATAATAGTTTAAACTTTAAACATATAATTTGTTACAAAATACATGTAACGGCATATGAAAGAAAGATTTACCCAGAAAGAATATTTGGCAGCCGAAGCTTTATTCTTGCACGTATTTGTTTCGCAAGAGTGTCAACTAATGCTACTCTTCCAAGCTTATTTTGTGGAGCTCCGGTAAGTATTGTTTTAAGACTTTCAGTCTCAGCTCTCCAAGCAGTTTCAAGTGAACTTTCAGATCCAACTCCTCCAGCTTGTGCTGAAGCAATAGAAACGGATTGACCAATCAGTGCAACCCATGGAATATCAGCAGCACTCCGTGGCCCCTGATTCAAAAGCAGAGCTTGAACCGCTGCAAGATGTTTTTGGTCCCCAGCTGCTTGATCAATCTTGCTAATAACACCAATCGTTCTTGTCCCTAAAGAACACGAAGCAGATGAGGTGCAGGTCAAAGATCTACAACAGGGAAGAAGACAACTCAATAGAAGCCCAAAGGTATATCTTTGCATACAATTTCATGTTCAAATGGATCTAAAGCTATTATACAAACAGTACAAACCTTCTCCATCAAACTCTTTAGCCAGTCTAAGAGCTCGAGAAGAAGAGATATCTGGTGCCTGAGCAGCTGGAATTATAATTAGCAATATTGCATCATTATGTGCCCCATAATCACTGACCTGAAACAAGATAATACATTCCCAAAATATTTATAAATAAATGAGCATTGCCATTAATTTTTTTAATTACAGCTGGATATAGCAATTTACCACAGAATCATCCATAGCCCGCTGGTCTAGGCCTGGTAGATCAATCAATTTCAAAGAAGGAGCTGATTAAATAAAGAAAAAAAAACATGTCAGCTATGAATATAACTTATTTTTACTCAAAAACAACTGACAGGCATTAGTATACTAGAGATACTCAACATTGTAGAGAGCAGTAAAAGGAAAACCCCAGAAACAAAGACATGATAAAAGGACAGCAACTTGACTTTACTGTCTTTATACAAGAAAAGTGCAGCACCTTCTAGGAAAAGGCCAACAGTATAAAGAGATAGAAGAAGGTTGATGTATCTCGATCAAGGATTTTAGTTTATTTGAGTCTAGATAGAATTTTTATTTTTAGAAATTTGAAAGTAATTTTATTGATTTTTGGATGTTGCATTTGGATAGGATGAATCTTATGCTATTGTTATTTTGGCTATATTGTTTATCACATTCAATTGCTTATCATTCAAAAACTATATAAATGATTTCTATTAAAATGACATTCAGACTATGAAATGATGATCACCATCCTGTGCAGAATCTTGGCTCCACCCCAGGTTGATATATTATACGTGCAACTAATATGTCTAAAATTCCTGCCATATATATGTACATATTCATATATACTGAAAGAGAAGTATGAAACCAAGATCTTGTAGAAATACATTTTAAGCTTAATCAGCAGTTATAAGATTGTATATCAGAAACATTTATCATAGGCAAATGATATTGTATGTGAACAAACCCATAAATGGTAGAAGTTGAATGCAGTATATGAGAGCACCATTGGTGCTTCAAACATATTGGGAAGTTGAAACATATGCATTTGCCAAACAGGAGTGAAAGGAAAACAAAGAGAACATCAAATTAACTACCCAGAGCAAGTACAAAGGAATAACATATTATATAAAGCCTAGCCTTTGATGATGTTCATAATAGTTAGACAATACGAATTGTTATAAAAAACACAGAGGTTCAAGACCATATACAAAAATTGTAGCAACATAAAGTGGTGTGCCAAGTATTTAGGCCCCGAGAAATGAAATGTACAATGAACAAGAGAGGATGGAAAAGCAGCCATTCACCAAGAGACCTAACAAAGTTCTAGACCTTTTTCTGCATGGTTAGGATCAAAATAACAACAGAAGGAAAATAAATTTGCAAACCTGTGCTAGTCCGAAGCTTCAAATTGATCTCATCTGCACGGCTCCTTCCTGAGCCTTTGCTGAGCCTATCCTGAAGAGAGTGCCTAAGAGCACCTTACAACAAACAGAGAAAGGTACATCGATAGGGAGCATTTCAAACCGATAAATGAAAGTTACTCCTCAAGTAGCAATACCCAAATTAATCAATGAATCCACTGTAATGTTTCAAAAGTTCTTACTTGCAGAAACCTGCTGGGATTTGTTGTCTATTTGTAATACAATTGATTTACTGCTCAACGAGCCATCTCTTTGCAGATCAACGCTTATAGGAGCACGAGTTGCACCATTTTCTCCGGTCGGCTGCATTAAGTAATCAAAGCCCGTTAGGTTTACAGCAGGTACAAACGATGAAACACAAAAAATTGAAAAGCGACCAGAAATCTAATTTGAAATTCACCATACCAGGACGGGATGTCCGATTAAACTGTTCAACACCGCTGATTTACCGGCACCCTGAAATCACGTTTCCCAGCAAGTTATGAGCACAGATAAGAGAAACAATGATCAAGAAATTGGACTTTCTAAAGGATCGTCCATGTTCTCAGGGCGTAAAGTAAGCAAGTATAAGGTCGAACAGGGGATGGGTTAGGGTCGCAGGTGTACTCACAACATTGCCAAGGGCGACGACGTTGAGAAAGGTGGACGACCTCCGCTTGTTTGATCCCTCATCGACGTCCTCGTCCGCGAGGAGCGCGGCCGCCTGCATCATGGACTCCGCGAGCTGGCTCAGTTCCTCCATTGCCTCCATCGACGGCAAAGCAAGAGAGGTCCGGGTCTCGGCAGCGATGGATCAAAGACCAAACCTCAACCCCGGGAATCACAGATTCCGCGATTGAGTCAAGAAGATAACCCGATCGGGGGGGCGAGATCCGGATCTGGAACTCCAATTCAAACCCCGGATCGAAGGAGAGGATTCGGCCAGCAGAATCGGGGGCGATCAAGATCTGGGGACTTGGGAAGGCGAGGATCAGAGATCGGGGATCGGGTAATCGGGTGAGGAAGCTGAAGGGAGGGAGGGAGGGACGGCAGCTTCTTCCTCGATGGTTGAATCGGAGATGAGAGAACCAGAGAGAGAGAGAGAGAGAAAGAGAGAGAGTGGGTTTCAAAAAGGATGCGACCACGTCCGCACCCAAAAAAATAGTGGGGTCGGCCGGTAACCGGTCAATAAACAATGGCCTGCGACCGCAGACACGGGGGTTTCATTTCGTAGCCACCGACGCCTATCACACGATTGGAAGCTTTAAGATCTGCTCCCGGCTCTGTGGACGGTGGATCTGCGTCCTTCGATGCCGTATTTTAGGAGAGCAGAACCCAACAATCATGTCCAGCTCGGGATCAGGTAATGGGTCAAATGAAATAACATATTTTCCTTTTTATTTTCATTTAATCTCATTAGTATTATTTTCTAAAACAGTGTGACTATGGCCATATCCTCTCTAACAATCTCATTAGTTTTTACCATACATTCTATGTCTCTCGTTAGCCTTAGTTTCCATAAATTTTTGTTGATAGGTATTCTACTAGTCAATATATTATTCTTTCTATGCTTGTTAATTTGATACAATGCATTAACTTCTTCTCTCTACCTTTCTAATGCAAATACTTTGTGCCTTCTAAATTAATTTGTCTAGTAACATTGGAAATTATTATTTTTCACATAAATTGTAAGAAAAATTATGGTCAATAGTTTCATGTCCAGAGCTAACTAACCATATCGGACGGTATTTTATAGTATGAATCATTCGTACCTTCTAAATAAGTTTATCATAAATTATAAGTAAATTTATTATCAATAATTGAATATTAAGTTATAGCCTTTGAATATTTATGTCAGAGATATTTTTAGAACAAAAAAAATTATTAGAATAATTTTTGGTAGTTATAATTACTACTTGGTGAAGAGTTATATCTCTTGGATTATACCTTATAATTAATGTGACGCTTGCTTTATCTTATCTATCTCGATCATATATTTCTTTGGTATAAACGGTATCGATCGAGTTGATCTTTTCTGCTTTCTTTTTTCTATTGAAGTGTTGAAGTGTTCTTACCATCTTAGCACGTGTGGAGCACGTGACTTCGATTTAGATCCTTGAGCTCAGTCCGGCCCGGCCCACCACTATGACGCCTGAACCGGTTTGATCTGCTCATGCGTGTTCGGCTCAAATTGGGCACACTCAAGAACAATTAGGCTGGTTTCAAACCAGTCTTAGATGAATTTGATATCGGTCCAATGGGACTCTAATTAAAACATATTTCATTCAAGCCAATTAGATTATTTCAGTCAGGGTTGAGGTTAATTAAAGATTTTAAAGAGATTGACACATTATGATTTTATGATTTAATGAATTTATATACTTTATTTGAAATTGTGATTTGAAAGTGATTATTGGTTTCAAATATTTGAGATTAAGATTTATGGTGTTGATGTAATTGTTACATGAAAGTACCCCACATGAAATGAGCCATAGGCCCATTTTAGTGTAAGATTCCTAATGGATTGAGTCTTATAAGTTATATATTATCATGATATTTTATCATTTGATCTGTTTGAATGTATGATGACTAGAAATAAAATGATGATTATGAAATATGATGATAGATAAGATTTTTTTTGTTTTATGTCAAGAGCAGGGATGTCATTGTGATTTTATTCAAGGATGAATTCTAAAGTGTTGTTGTAAAATAATGGAAAATATTTCATGAGTATTGAGGGTTTTTTTTTATTTTTATAGATCATTAGAATAACCTACTCATTTGTATTATATCGCACGCTTGGTAAAAGAAACTTTTTCACCGTTAAGTAGTTGGATTAAAAAGTTTCATTATTTATCAAATTAATAAATTTTACCATTGTAAATAAAATAAATATATGATTGAACGAAAATATGGGAGTTGGTTATTGTTTCTAAGAATATTATTGGTAAAACTAGGTAGAGTTCTGAATTTACTCGCTTTGGTTATACAAAATTATCCTGGAAGTATATAACAAAATTCCTATGATACTTCAGATGTTAAAGGACTCGGTAAATATCGAGTCTTTAGAGTATAATCTAAATCTTGTTATCTTGTATTAAATAAGATATCATTTATCCAATGACAATATACTTAAGGGATTTTTATAGTGTGGCGAAGAGATGTAAGAAGTGAGAATCAAATGTATATTTATGAGTTTACGATTTATTCGATTATGGATAACATGTGCATTTAATATAAAAATTATATGATAATTTTAGATTTTACTCGTTGAGAGTGGAAGTTCTATATATGTATTATCGAGTTATCATTCTCATGTTATAAATGTGTCAATCATGTATTGTCTGAGGTTTTGAGAGCTAGCAAGGGAGAGCTTTCCCAATGTCCAAAACTAAGAATATAGCAAACTTAAAAGTCTAATAACTTATGTATGTATATAACTATTCATATGTGTTGAGAAATCGTGGATAGGCATCTCATGCATAGCGAAAAACAAAAAATAAAATCAGATTTTTCAAAGTCAAGTGCTTGATCATTATGCGACGATTGGTGTGCGAGAAAATCGCAAAACTAAAAACTACATGTATCATATGAGAAGTGTTACGTAAGAAGATCGTATATCCTTAAAATTTCTAGATCTGATGGAGAGGATGAAGGAGAACTCGTGTAATCCTCTCTAGCGGTGATCCACATGACAGATGTAGCGACGACACTACTCATATCATTGCGGGATCTTCCTCTCCACTTGCACCACAAGGCTACCGGAGCTAAGGAGGAGGATAAAAGACTGAGGATAATAGGAGACGCGATCACTAGAACTTTTAGCCGTGAGGTTCCTCCTATTTATAGATGTGCAAGCAATTTTAACCATTAATAGATCATATTCTTATTAGATATTAGATCTCTATCCAATTGGATCTTATCCATAGGATCTAAACTATGGGTTATGCGGATATCTCATATTTGCACCTCTACTCGTCATAGCACACACCATATGCGTGTGACCCTTTAGACCCGATACTAAGCTGGCCGTGAGTCGATCATGTCAAAACTCCTTCTAACTCAGAACCCCTTCTGATATAGTGAATTATTATCTCCATAATACTTCACTCGACTCATCGACTATGGATGTACTAGGCCACTATATTATAGTCCCTAGACGGTATAAGGGATCTAATACATCGGACGTGTCTATCCTCAATTACCATATATCTATAGTCTCTCATCCATCTAATATCTTAAAGATCGTGTATTGGCCATGATAACATTAGGCCCATACAGAATCTTGTCTGAGTCTCGCTCTAATCGAATTCTCTTGGAGAACTCTTTCTCAATCCGAATAACCATGGCTAGAGATTTTGTTTAAGAAACACACGAGATATTTCTCTCGAGATATTGAGAGTGGATAATCCTCTATTGACACTCAAATATCTTCATAAGGTTGGTTGTCATTCTCGAGAATTAGTGTACCAGATCTAGAACTTTCAAATCTGTAAGTTCGACGTCAAAGAAAGAAGTACTCATACAAAATATGCTTGGTGTCTTAAGTTTAAGAACTAAACACATAATTGAGACTATGGAATCGTTATCTTACGTCAGGTATCATTAACTATTTAGCATTTTATAAGCGGATCAATCAGTGAACTCATTCTTCAATGAGCACCTGTATTGTACCTCTAGTATCCTCACACGAACATCTATGAGACCAATCACATCTATCATATGAACAAGTATATAGTGTACCGGTCTATCCGATTATGTCGATGTATTCTCGAGTAACCTATGACCAGGATGATTTAGAATCTGTATTTAAAGGTGAATCGGTCTTATTATCATGATCTCATCATGATCTGATTCCTATTGTATATATCCAATGACATCATAATATATATAGAGATAATATATGATAAAATACTAATAATATTAAGTAAAGAGATTATCGTAACGTGTCATAGGTCATCATTGATTTATAGGGTACATATAACTAATATGTAGTGGATTATTTTTTGATATTAAAACATCATGCTTGCATGTGAAGACATTTGAATCATCGATCCATGTTGGCACACGCAAGGTTGATTAGGTTGTTTGATTTGATGTGAAGTTGACATCCATGCAAAGTTAGATATTTACATATCATTTTTTAATTAATATATTATTAAAAATATAAATCTAAAAAATAAAGAAGATATTATAATCTTTAAAAAAAAATTACTACATTAAACAACATAAAAGATGCAAACAAATATAAATTCGAACTTAAAATATATTTTTTTGTGAAATAATGAAATAGCACCATTAATGCAGACATTAAAAATCTCATCCGATCTCGACATAATGTTCGAGATTTCAGACTTTTATCCATGAACGAAATAAAAGTGATATAACCCTAAGGGACGACATCATCAGGTAAATTCTTCGTTGCCTAGCAGCTGAACAGCATTCGTAGGAAACTCCACCCACATCATCCTCCAACAGCAACAGATCAATGAATGCTTCGTCCCCGACTCTCTGCATTTTCTTGGCAGCCGAAGAGCATTCGTCGTAGACTCCGACTTCAGAACTCCTGCGGTGTCGCATCATCTGGCTTCCGGCTGTATGCCACTGCGACCTGCCACGGACTTCGGTGGTCCATCATGACTTGCTTTGTATGGATCGTATCGGATTGGGTTGCTTGCCAAATGAGATCGGGTCCTACTGCCTTGGCAGTTCTCTCGACATGTGTCAGAGTCAGTACTGTCATTGCAGTTCTCGTGATAACTCCTCGTCATATGTGTCATTACTGCCATTGCAGTTTTCATGACTCATCCTCCTCGTATGTCAGAGTCGGTTATCTTTCTCTTTATGGTGGTATATGCTGAGAGCTGATCAGGACCTTGAAATCATCCAAACTATTTATTATTCATTTATTAACCAAGTAAAATGAAAAAAATTGATCTGATAACATTTTTATCTACATATTAAATATAATTTTATGATATAAAAATTAGAACTCTCAACCTAAATAATGCAGCAGCAGTAACGCCGTGTTCTTTATAATGGCGCTCGCGATCGCCATCCGCTGCATCAGCCCGCCAGAGGGCGGCACACCGCGGCCGCCGCAGTACGTG